AGAAGCCAGAAGAACTCGTAGTGGCAAACAAGGTAGAGGATGCTAAGAGATGTTCAATTGATGCTCCTGAAAATTAAGTTTTGGAGGCACTTAAAGAACTTGTGGAATCTTCGGCTATGAAGGAGAAGATGAAAAACAACGATGGTCCTGGATAGAATTTGGCTGTTGAGAGTTAAAGAAGATTTAAGGGTAAACAGAAAGCAGATGCAATGCTTACCCGTTCATCACTTGGACTTGTGGCTAGGAGAGAGGTTAGAGGGGAAAATATAGGTATCACTTTGCACAAATGAGTGATCGAAATGGATGACAATGCTAGTTTTGATTACCCAGTCAGACAAATTTTGAAACAGAATGAAAGTACTCTGGAATATATGTGGCCTGGGGAGCGAGCACCGCAATCAAGAAGTTTTTTCACTTTTGGTTCGAAAGTATAAACTAGAAATTTTTCTTTTGCAAGAGACCAAGCTCCTAGGTTCGTTAATTAGGTATGTTAATGAAATTTAGGGTCGACATCCTATTGAACAATTTACAAGGAACCTTTTATTGGGGACTGATGATAAAAGGAAAAATTTTCATTTATGAGTTGGGATAAGGTGTGTACTCCAAAGAAGGAAGGTGGATTGGTATTTGTAAACTCAAATTAATTAATCAAGCATTAGTTGCCAAATAGTGGTGGCAGTCGCTGAATTCAAATCAGCTGCTTTGGAAGTAGATTTTGGTGGCTAAATGTGGCATTGACCCCTTAAACCAGTTTATTGATAGGGGTAGAACTACATATCGGCAATCACATGTATGGAAGTCTATTCATTCTATTTGTTCTTTCATGATTAGACATACAAGGTTGTCAGTAGGAATGGGTGATAATTTTCTTTTTTGGCACTAAAAGTGGGCAGCTTTTGATGTGGCATTTAAGTTCTCCTATCCATATTTATTTCACAGGTGTGCTCAGCCGATGGCAGAGGTAGGAGAGGTTGGAGAGGCTAATGACAATTCTGTTTTTGGAATATTGTGTGCCTCTATAATCGTATTCCATAACCTATTTTTCAATAATCATATTCCACGGCATGTTTTTCAACAATTGATTGAGTTGTTAAAGGTGTTGGAGAATATCCATATTTCCAATTTGATGAATGATGAGGTGATATGGGAGCTAGAACCTGGTGGAATTTTATCGATGAAATCAGCTGACTCTTTATTATTTTATGATTGAATTAGATGGAATCAGCTTATGTTGAAGGATCTTTGAGGTGGATGATACGACATAAGGTGCAAGCCTTTATTTGGGTAGTGATACAAGGCAAAGCTCCAACTATTGACAATATTGGAAAGAAAGGGAAGATTCTAATCAACGTGTGCATGTTTTGTAAAAATGATGAAGAAAGGGCTACACATTTATTTGTTCACTGTGCTCTCTCCCATCACATATGGTGTAAGGCAATACAAAAGGTTAGTGTTTCTATGGCTCTTTCAAATTCTTAGCATAACATTTAAACCATCTCAAGCTAGTGGCAATTCTAAAATTGGGAATATGATTTGGGACATTATTCGAGGAGCAATTATATGGGAACTGTGGCTGGAAAGGACTAGATGGACTTTTGAAGGAATATCTTTGGGAATGCAAGGCATTAAAAACATAATTATACGTAAGAGTTTGGAGTTGGTTAAATGTCATTAAAGAGGGGTATGGAGTAGATGTTGAGCTCAACGTGGCTAACCTTATCTCATTGCGATATCTAAAGGTTAGACCGAGATGCATAAGGCAGCCACCTATAACAGGGAGTTTCAAATTGAATTTTGATGGATCATCCTCGAGTAATCCAGGGGTGGCAAGTGTGAGTGGGGTCTGCAGAGATAGTGGGGGCAATGCTATATTTAGCTTTGCTAGTCCATGTGGTATTATATCCACCAATCACATTGAAATGGCTGCTCTTGCGCAAGGGGGGATAGGTGCATTGGTGAAACTTTGGTTACTGAAAGAGATTCACTTAGGGCGTGTTTGATAACAGGAAGTTAGAAGAAGAAGAAAGAACTTTACCTATTACTGTTCATGTTATGTGTTTGATAAAAAGTGGAAGATAATTTGAGAACTCCTTTTTACTGTTGAAGTTCCCACCTTTTAGGCTTGAGTAAAGTTCCATGGTAAACCATGGAACTTGTAAAGGGAACTTTTTATTTTGTCCATGATATATATATATATATATATATATTAAAAATAAATATAAAATATAGTATATCATATATTATAGTATATTATAAATATTATATATTCTATTCAAATAATTATCTATATAAATATAAGATATTTATCATATATCCCAGGAGTTATCAAACACAGAAACTATGAACTTATATATATATATATATATATATATATATATATGTATTAATTAAAA